CTGAGCAAGCAGCCGAATCTGTTGAAGCTCCTCATGCCCAGGAGGAAAGAAGGGAGACTTCTCAGCATTCCAGCTATATATAGACTGTCATAAGATTCTGATCATGTGAGGGGCAATCTGTCTGACGATGGTGATGCTGAGCCATTCGGTGATGCACCACGTTATGATCCTCATTGTGATCATAAACAATTTCAGTTCACTCCTCGTCTCAAGTTCGACAGTGTGGAGCAGTTTAAGAATGCGGTTGTACTGCATTCCGTAGCAGCAGGGGCATGCTTGAGATGGAAGAGGAGTGAGAAGGATAGAAAAGAGGTTGTATGCAAGGATAAGAGGTGAAAATGGAAGGTTTATGCGAGCTGGTTTAGGAGGAATCACATCTTCATGGTTAGGAAGGTTGGATTGCTGCACTCTTGTAATCGCAACCTACGTGTCAATAAGGTTACGGCCAAGTGGATTGCATCTGATATGCTGGACAGATTCAGAATCAATTCAGAGTGGAGTCCTGATCAGATTATGGCAGAAATCAAGTTGAAGCACAATATGGAGGTGAAAAAGAGAACATATTACCGGGCTAAGGTGGAAGCGGTTAAAATGTTAAGTGGTTCTTTAGTGGATGAGTATCGTGGTATAAGGAGTTATATTGCTGAATTGCTTAAGCGCGATTGAGAGGGGAAATTTTTTTTGGAGGTTGAACCGCACCCTACACAGGAGAAGGTATTCTTCTAGAGGTTGTATGTTGGGTTCTCGGTCCTACGAGACGGATTTCTTTTAGCTTGTCGCCCGATGTTTGGTTTGGACGGCTGCTTTTTGAAGGGAGAGGTGAAAGGGATGCTGCTTACTGCTGTAGGGAAGGATGGGAACAACCAAATGTTCCCAATTGCTTGGGCAATTGTGGAGGGTGAAAATTCTTGTTCATGGAGGTGGTTTGTGAACATCTTGTCGCAGGAGCTGAACTTACGCGATGGAAGGGACTGGTCTGTCATATCCGATCAATAAAAGATAAGAGTATGGTTCTCTATTATCTGACTTAATACACATTTGAAATTGCTAACTACCTATACAATTATCTTTTGTGTTAGGGATTGGTTGATGCTCTACGTGATCTGTTGCCAGATGAGGAGCATAGGCAGTGTGCAAGGCATGTATATGCAAACTGGAAGTCTAAACAAGACAGATCGGGTCCGCAAAGTATTCTAGAAGGCAGTCTATGCCTGCAATGAAGTTGATTGTAAGAAGGAAACTGCTGAATTGGAGGAGATTGAAGGTAATGAACCACTTAGCACAACTTTTAAAGACTTCATGGACCAAGAACCTAGATACTTCTGTCGATCCTTCTTATCTCATTTACCTAAGTGTGACTCAGTGGAGAGTAATATCTGTGAAACCTGGAATGGAACAATTGTTAAGTATAGGGGAATGAGAATCATAGATATGCTCGAGGGGATTAGGGGTTACATGATGGATCGAGTTGTAATCAAGTTTAACATGTTATCTGCTACGACTGACTTGTTGTGTCCGAGAATTAGAAAGAAGGTAGAAAAAGAGAAGGAGCTCGCTAGGTGGTGCACATCTAAGCGAACCTTGAATTTGAAGTGTGAGGTGAATATGGGTAATTCAGGGTACATAGTTGATCTCCAAACAAAGACATGTACTTGTGGGTATTGGTCTCTGAGCGGTTTGCCATGTTGCCACGCTGTTTCGGCAATCACACACCTGAGGAAGGATGTGGACGACTACGTCCATCCCTCATATCATGTGAATCATGTGAGGGAGGGCTATAAGGTTGGCATCCCTTGCTTGGATGGAAGACAGGCATGGCCTGAAGCCACTGGTTATCCAGTATTCCCTCCCAAGCAAAGGGCGCAGCCTGGAAGGCCAAAGAAGAACCGGAGGAAAGCTGCTCACGAGCTTGAGGTTCGGCCTCAAGCTCAAGGAATTGGTGAAGAAGTGTCGAGGAGGGGAACTGTCATCCACTGCAGCAAGTGTGGAGCTGAGGGGCATAATGCACGGACCTGTAAAGAGCCTGTTTCAAATGCTGCCCCTGAGAGACAGGTGAATGTGATTTAATTTTGTCTTGCACCATGTGATTTATATTGCTGAACTTGATTTATATTTACGAATGTGATTTGATTTTTTGGAAAGGGAAACACAATTACAGCAAGGAGAACTCGCGGTTCAACTACTCAGCCAACGCCACAGCCAACTGCTCAGCCAATAGCTCATAACACCGGAAAGAGGCCAAGGCAGGGTCATTGTTCGAAGTGTGCTTCAGCGACCCACAATGCAAGAACTTGTCCCATAAACCAAAGGAGTGGAATACAGGTATATAAGATTGTGTATGAATCGATCTACTTGTTGTGAAGAATGTGATTATGATTTTTCTGCATTATGTAGCATGTGAGGTTAAATGTTGGTGATCGAAGGACAATTGCACGCGAGATGCGAGTTGCAACAGCTGGAATCGGTGTGTATGTGAATGAGACCACTGGAAATACATATGTTAGGGTAAGACTAGTGGTTTATAGTCATTTGTTGCTTTTAAATTGTTGTGTATGTTGTTGATTCCATATTTGTTCTTCCAGCTGAACGGAGCAAATGGTCGTCAAGTGGGTGGAAGTCAGCCAACAGTGGTGGATGTCCAAGGAAGTCAACCACGTGTCACACAACCTTAGAAGTTGGCATATTGAGTCGATTTACTTTTGTCAGCCCCCATGTAATGACTTCCATAAAGGAAGCTTTGAAATCGACTCATGTAACTAATGGGGCACTTTGTTAGGATTTGTAAGTTAAAACATCTTGTAATCCAGGAATGGTTATGTTCTATAATCGGGCACTTTGTTAAGCTTTGTATGTTAAAACATATTGTAATCCAGGAATGGCTAGTTAACTTTGTGTGAATGGTTATGCAGTACTCCTTTTGTAGTAATCAGGAATGGTTATTGAGGAAAAGTCATTGCAACTACCACTTCATTTCCAACATTCTGGACATTAAACAACATTCTGGAATTATATTGTTCTTGATCGTACTACTTAAAAATACCAAATTGAAGATAGCATTACAGTTATATTGTTCAACCATTCTAGAGCAAACATCATGACCACTTATCTAAACCCTACTACTTCTAAATCACAAATTGATGGCTCCGCGCAACAAAAAGAACGAAGGCATTCAATACAACAATAACGGTTAACATAAACCGAATTGCACGGAGATCTTCATTCACTTTCCTTCCTTCTTCAACTATACTCTTCTTCTCCTTCTTCCTTAGACTCAGCAATGCTCAAACTCTCTTCCAGCTGCAGTATTAACCTCTCAATATTCGTGTCTCGGACCTCGCAAACATCATCATTCATCTCCGCCCACCTAAAAAAGCGACAGTTCTTCTTCACATCCTGCCCAATGACAACCATCCAATTAACAAACAACCCCTCAAACAACAATATTCATCGTTACGATCATTCACCCTTACCTTCCAATATGGACATCCATAGAATCGTCGGCCTGGGTTATCATTGGTACCGGATGTTTTGACTACGGCGGGAATGTTGTGCTTGCAGCGGACGAGGCCATCACCACTGATGCTTGTCACAGAGGAAGAGACTCGCTTTGACATCTACAACCCAACCCTTTAGCGCTAAAAGTGAAATCTGTAGCGTGGAGGCGCCGCCAGGGACGCGACTAGGGGCGCGGTGAGGGCTGCTGTCGGAGGGAACCCTTGGATCGGCGGTGGGCAGCAACCTCTTCTCCAGCGCAGCCGATTAGAATGGTTCTCTAGGAACCCTAATTCGAGTTTGAGAAAAAGGGGGTGGAGGCGCCGCCAGGGACGCGACTAGGGGCGCGGTGAGGGCTGCTGTCGGAGGGAACCCTTGGATCGGCGGCGGGCAGCAACCTCTTCTCCAGCGCAGCCGATTAGAATGGTTCTCTAGAAACCCTAATTCGAGTTTGAGAAAAAGGGGGTGGGAAGGCAGTCCTCAAATGTAAGGGGGGGGGGGGGGGGGAATTGCTGACATGGCGTCCACGTGGAAAAATTTGCTGACCTGGAGCTTAGGTGGGAGATGGGTATGGTCCTACTCACTATTCCGTTACATTTACTAACGCCGTAACAAACGACATTAAAGTTTGTAACGGAAATGGATAGATTTGTCACATGATAGTACAATTTTCTGGGTATTTCGTGTATTTCGATAGTTATGGATATATTTGTCATAAACGTGAAAGTTATGGATATAAAAGTGTATTTTGCCTTATTTTTATAGGTAGTTCTTGTTTCTATTTTTGTGTTTTGAATCATGAATCACAATGGTTTTCCAAAATGTGGGTATCAACCAACACTAAATTGGTGGTACCCCCAACGATTGATGGACCATCCAAAATGATGAAGGCCAAATATTCGGGTTCCATGACCAACCTCCATATATGATGAACAACCATGCCCTTTGGAGTTTCAAGAATTCAACCATTTTCAAGAAGACTTTCCTCCACAATACGAGGTGGCATCCGAGTTGGAATTAGTAATGGAGACCCACATGAAAAATTTGCAAGACCATGCTACATTCAACCATCGGAGCCGAAGAGCCAGTTGGAGCTAGCTATGGAGAAGTTCATTATGGATGGTGAAAAGTATTATCTAATGTGGCCTTCTAACCCATCACACCTCGCGATCCACATCTTATGCATGCAACAAGGGAGACTCTGAGTAAGCTTGTGCACAGTATATGCTCGCGATAATTTTTTTTATCTATTTTATAAGAGGAGGATGAAGAGACGAGTAATGAGTAAATTGTGAAGCAAACGGAACTTGTCACTCGAAAAATTACATCGAATCATCCTGGTATGTCTGGTGTGCTTTGGAATCCTCAAATATATTACGTTATCACGAACCATCATATATGTAAATTCAAGCACATTGTTTCTCTGATTAATCATGCAGGGTTCGGACATATTTATTCAAATACTGTATCAGACACTTTCATTTGTTAGAGAAATTTGAAATCAGGATTTAGGAGGTTGGTTGGTTGCCAATCCAACCATCACGATTCACAAACGCATCCCTCGAATACTGCCTCAGGAGAGAAGGGTAACGGTCCAAGTTCTTCTCCCATGGAACTCGCTTCGATCTGTCCGAACCTGGTCCTTTACAATTAGCCTCGACGTAGAAGATATTTTTCCTACAGAAATTTACACAATGAAAGCGAATCAAGATTAACATAGATTGAATAGAGTTTGATCAAAAGGTATAGAAAAAGAGCACTTCTACTATACTATATATTATACTGGTGATTTAAAGTATATTTTAAAGTTGTAACATAACATTAAATGTACAAATCATAGTTGTATCATGAGAGAATTTGACATTAATATAAATGTACAACTTTAGTTTGTACCATAAAAGGATTTTATAAAAGAGTATAGGTATAAACTAAAGTTGTACCAAAATGTTAAAGGTACAACTTCAAGTTGTATGACAAAAGCAAAAACTAAAGCACCAACGCTTTAAAGCATTGTAAAATTCCTCATAGAAAAAAGTAGAGTAACTCACTCTTGGCCGGCGTAACGCCAAGCATCCCAGCCGCGAGGGTCGACGGCGGCGGTCATATAAGTCGACTGAAAGATGACTCTCGAGTACGGCCCGTAAGCTCGGCCGAGGAAAATCGAGACGCCGGGGGAGGCTCCTACCGAGCCGCCGAAGAACACAAACCCACTTGGATCGTTCGCTGTTGCCCTGCCTTGCGCCGTTATGTAGCCTCCTCCCGTCGCGTATATCTCTGTGTTCTACAAAATATAGACACGTGGCAAGTTTAACGGTCTAATTCACGACGACTTCATTATAGCCGAAGAACACCAATCATGACGTAAATTTCAATCAAATTAAGAGATAGTTCTAAATTTTCTGACGCAACTTACTGAGCATTGCACTATACATTTTTTTATTTAATGGATCGAGACCCTTGAAACATACATTCCTAGCTAACAATTTTGATGGGAGGCTGGCTATCAAAACAAATGTACCTTGAGAAAGTGTAAGATGTGTGTACCTCATAGAAAGACTGGCCTCGACCGAAAATGAAATCGACGGCTCCTTGGATGTAGCAATTGGAGAAGTAATGGCGGCCGGTGGCGTCCCATAACGTGTCTTGGACGCCGACGAACGAACAGTCGTAGAAGGCCGTCTTGTCGCCGTACACTCTAGCAGCTAGCGCCGGCACTATCCCGTTCCCATACGGTTCGTTCCCGTCAATTGGGCCTGGGCCGGTGCCTGGGTTTGGGCTGTAGATTTTGGGTATGCTCGTTCTGAGGTTAAACGAATTCTGAAAGCCCACATGGATTGTGTTGATTGTCAAAATTTACAATCATTTTCAACTTTCACCATTTCAATTTTTCTCAATTTTTAAGCATTTACGTCTGATTTGATATTTATTTTTTATTTTACTATTTGGAAAAAAAAACTTTTCAACTGGTTAATTACCTGGAAGGTGATACCCTTGGCTACAACATTTGGAGGGTAAGAAGAGAAAGTAGCACTTTGGTCCATCTGGTTGTGACCATTGTAGATAATGTTCGTCTCCTTTTGTCCTTCACCTTCTAGAAATACACACGGCTTGTCATATGGAATCGTCACTTGTTCTCTGCATATACCATGGGCCAACTTTTGATGCATTAACCATAAAACTCGAATACAAACTATAACCCTTGTTGTTCATCCACAAGAGTAGTACTATTAAATTAACTATATGGAGTGAAATTATATGACGCTGTTACACTTTCATTGAAGATTTTAAGAGACATTTGGATCAATAACTATTAACATGGATGGATTTATGAAATGTGTGGAAAATTATCTTTAAAAAAAATCAATACTACAATTCAGAGCTATACTAATTTAAAACATGTAGTAGATTTCGAAATCTCTCTTCCAAACGAACGAGTGATTTGAAATCTCAATATTTTGACAAATTTGTCCAACTCAAACCATTTATTGCCCATCCAAATATATCGGTTTTGCATACATTAATCACTCTACATGTATGTCATGGTGCACAGCTTTTCCCATCACGGTCCATTAATGCGAAGTTGAGTGAACCGGAATTTCATACGACTAAAACAAATCTCTACAATACATTTTCGTTACTCATCGATCTCACTTCTTTAATTGACATGTTTACGTACTTTACGAAAAAAGAAAAATAGAGGAGGAAAAAAGGGATGGATAATTACACGTAGGTACCCTGCTGGATATGGACTTTGATCCACCATTTGTTGTAAGAAGGGATGGAATCAATGGCAGCTTGCACGGTCTTGAAGCCACCCTTTCCCACAAATCTGTAATTTGCACCACCCCACGACGACGGCTTGCCGCCGCAGTCAAGAGCTGCAGCATGATGATCTTTCACCACCGAATTTGAAAGTACTAAAATCGTCGCTAAAAGTATCATAATCCCTGCCATTTTGTTAGAGACGAATATGGATTTGTATTGGTATTAAGTTTATATGGAATGATTTTTAAGCAAGGCATATCCGGTTGTTTAATATATAAGGGAAAAATATGATGATACATATTTTATATATTACTTAAAGAGTTGCAATTTCAAATTTGTAGAGATTTTCCTTACCTTAAGAGTTGCAATTTCAAAATTGTGTAGACATATGTATGAATTTCACTTTAACTAGCTAACAAATAATTAATTGCGGATGGAATTTAATGTCCTGATGTGTATTTTTACAGGTGAAGATACCGAAATTCCGACGTTGCCTTTAAAAAAATATTGTGTTTTAATCCACCGTGAAGAATTCAATATTGACTCATTTTTATATCACATAGAGTAATTATAGTGATGATTAGTAGAAATTTGTATGTGTAATTAAGTATTCATGTGATAGCAATTATATTTCGATAGAAATTTACAATCCAATTGTTTACTGGATCCTCCAAATCCATTACCAATGGTAAATACTACGATTAATGAATCAGATCGCATCTCAAGTCGTAATGAAATTCGACGCGATAAAGAAAACAATTAAAAGGGGCCATCTACATTAAGTTTCCATCGCCGCAATTCTAGACATTGCCACCTGTTTATCCATAAAAAATTCGTTTGTACAATATCAATTAACTACAAGAGATTTAATGGATTTATAAGGTCATCTCAACATTAATAATTAAAATAGCTAGTTGGGCCTTGTTGGGTTGGGTTTTTGGGCCTAGGTGGCCAAGCTCTTCTCCATACATGATGGCCGACCCGTCTCCTTGGCCCCCATAGCCGGACGATGCCTCCACCACTTGGTATGAAATTTGGCTCCCAAAAAACTAAGTCTAGAAACAAGGCGGCACAATGGGGTGCCAAACGACTGGGTACCAAGCCGAATATAAAAAAGGGGTCATTCAAAAACTAAGTCTGGAAACAAGGCGACACAACGAGGTGCCAAACGATCGGGTACCAAACAGGGTACCAAGACATGAAAAGCATGAAAATTGGCTAAGTATGGAGCCAAAGGGGTACCAAGCCGACAGGGCAGGCTTGATAACAAAAGACATGAAAATTGGCTAAGTATGGAATCCCATGGCTAGGGGGCCATACGACACGATGCCACACCATCCATAGCAAGAGGGTATCAAGCCGGCAAGGCAAGGCTTGATACCAAGACATGAAAAGCATGAATTTGGATAAGTATGTACCAGGTCGGCAAGGCAGCCTCCGCGAAGGCAAGGTGGCTAGCTGAGGTGGCCACCCAACTAGGTATCAAACAACCATGGATGGATCGGCCAGGATGCCGAGCTGAGGGTGTCAATACGATGAGGACTCGTAGAGCCCCTTATGGGGACATATGGTGGCGTAGTCCCAAGACGGGCTTGGTAGCACCCTAACGGGGTACCAAACCGCCAGGGTACAACTTTCTAACTTGATGAGGCTACAAAAACTAAGTATGGAGACCAATCAACCAGGGCTGGCTTGGTAGCAGAGGGTGTCAAGTTGATTACATGGGCTTGGTGGCATGCCGGAAGGTATCAAGCCGATGAGACTTGGTAACAACCAAACAGGTCAATGAGGAGGACTTGGTGTCAAGAAGTGGTAGCGGTCTCATGACAACAAGAGCTGGGAGTCATCAAGCAGTCAAGGGTGCAAAGAAAACTTCATCATGGAGGCTAAGAGCCTCAACCCCATCCAGTCATGACAGGGCGACAAGGCTCAATACCAACCCGACATCGAGACCATCAAGTACCAACCATCCCCAAGATGGGAGAAGGCCCCCCAATGTGACGGTTATCAACTAGTCACCAAGGCAGCGACAAGGAGCCCCTAAGGCGGTTGGAGCAACAGGCCGGCTAGCAGTTACCAGGGAGGTTACCAAGGCAGTTACACCTAGTGGCTATAAATAGGAGAAACGAAGAAGAAGCAAGGGTTCCACAACCAAACATTTGACAGGCAATGTCAAAATTTATCCTTTCTCTGCAATTTAGCCATAGCCTTTAGTTTTCGGAGCTCTCATTGAACCTCCATAAGAGTAGGAGTAATTAACGTAGCTTGTTCTAAAAAACCATTAAAAACATCAAACACCCTCGTTCGAATATTGTTCGGAGAGGTGTGAACCATGTTTAGAATCGTTGTTCAAAAAGTCAAAGGTGCATTGATTGAAATCAAACACCAAATTTTCCTCGTCGGAACACACCACCTAACGAACTTGGTGTGACACATCATTCATTCATTGTAAGAAATGAATATCCTCCGCCAACCTATGGATGTGTTGCCAGCAACAAACCAAATCTTGAGAGTCAATCTCTAGTGTGTAGTTCAAAAAACTTGTTTCTCCCTTTCCGTAATAAAAAGCAATATCACATTAAATTTTTTAGTGTATTATGAATATCATCTTCTTAATGAGATTTCATGTTCATCATTTTATACATGGTGCAAAAAGATGCTCTTAACTTTACACTTGTATGAGTGCTAGTTAATGACAAAACACCTCATCCAGAGGTTCTACAATAAATTAGACATTCGAAATAAGGCAACCCCCAAGTGCCACCTTAGAATAACTAGGTGGAGCGAGACTGATAAAAAAAGGGAAAAAGACAACATCGACTGCAAAATGAATTATTTTTGAATCTTTTCAATGACTTAAGAACCATATAAGCGATTGAGCTATAATTCTATTAACTTGTGAACTATTTTACTTCTTGAAAAGCAAGTTTTTAATCATTTAAACAGAAATCCAAAAGAGTTGTAAAATTTATGGTGTACTTCGTTCATCATTTAGTACAAACTACTACTTTTTTATTCCAACGTCTAGTCAAGATAATCACTAGACAAAAATCAAACGTTCTTCTTACGTGTAACGCCTATTAAACCTTGATTTACATATCTAAAATACATGCATTGCTTATACTTTCCAATCTGTTCAGCTTCAGCCCGAATACAAATTCCTATTATTTATATATTCTTGCTATAGACTATTTCGGTACACAGCAGGCTGAGCATGACGTAATTGGTTTACTCACCGAGTTATAAAAAACCAATGCAGTCAAAAGCGCGATTCTACATAGAAGCGGAAAAGGGGTAAAATCATAAAGCGTAGAATCAAAGCGTAAAAGCGTAAGTTTTTGAAGCATACTGAAAAATAACTAAAAAGCTAGGACATATACTATGTATGAACGCACGGAATTTAGATAAGTTAATAAATACATGCAATTCATGCCTCAAGTAGAGCAACTTGCAGCATCTTAATAATAAGTTTGTAAACATAAATTTTAACAATAAGCCACTTCTTCCTCTATGCTAATGCATTCGGGAAGAGCCTAGCTGGTGAATTAGATTACTCTATTAAAGTTGAGAATGCATCCAAGTACATGATATGTATCTTTTAATCTCAAATGTATCATATTGTTGGTGATTTACTTTTAAAATATACTTTTTATAATTAATTTCATGAAAAGAATACTCATTTAGTGAACTAAAAGCGTAAAAACGTAAAGCGTTTTGGTGAACTAGAAGCATAAAAGGGTAAGCTTTTAATCTTTAGGCAAAATACAGCTGTATATCCACAACTATCAGGTTTGTGACAAATATATCCACAACTATCGAAATACACGAAATATCCAAAAATCAGAAGGTTGTGTGACAAATCTATCCACTTCCGTTTGAAACTATAACGGCGTGTCAGACGACGTTAAATTTACTAACGGAATGCTGAATCGATGTCATCTCACCTGCCACATAAGCCAAAAAGCAACCAAACTTTACACGTAGATGCCAAATAGGCTAGTTGAATAAAGGCAAAATACAGTTGTATATCCACAACTATCATGTTTGTGACAAATATATCCACCATTATCAGGTTTGTGACAAATATATCCACAATTATCGAAATACAAGAAATATCCATTTCCATCTACTCTGTTAACTCTGTCAGTTAACTTGATGAATGTACAGACGGTGGATGCTTAGTTGGCTTGTTTCTGACCCCACTGAATGACGTGGATTAAAAGAGAAAAAAAATAAATAAATAAACCTAAAAACCATAGACGGCGAGACTAAAAATCCAACCCAGAAACATACCCGATAACCACTGATCCTCCTCCGATCGATGCCTCCACCCCCAAATAACCCTACCCCAAGCCCAGATTTCGATTCCAACCACAATCCCCAACAATTGCCTCCCTTTTACTCCGACAGCTTCCATGCAGTCGGCGCCATGGTGATACCAAGCTTGAATCTCAAACAAAAAAAGCTTGAATCTAACCAAATCGCCAACAGAGAAGACTGCAGCAGCTAGGTCTAACAGACGGTGTAAGTTTGGTTGCTTTTTGGCTTATGTGGCAGGTGAGATGGCATCGATTCAGCATTCCGTTAGTCAATTTAACTCCATCTGACACGTCGTTATAGTTTCAGACGAAAGTGGATAGATTTGTCACACAACCTTCCGATTTTTGGATATTTCATGTATATCGATAGTTGTGGATATATTTGTCACAAACCTGATAGTTGTGGATATACAGCTGTATTTTGCCTAATCTTTAAAGCGCAATTTAGTCCGATTTTATACACTTAAGTTTTTATATGGAAACGAAAACGTTTTGGTGACCTAAAAACGTAAAATCGTAAGTTTTTAAATTTTAAAACACGATTTTGACTGCATTGAAAAAAAACAAATAATAGCAGCGGCGTACAGACTACAGACAAAAGAATCTTGCTACTTTCTATAATCTGATACGCTGTTTCTATTCTTAATAAAGAGTGAGACTCCATGCTTTTTGTAAACGTCAGAACAAAGAGAGGACCAAACTTTGATTAACTCTAATTCTGTCCCCTAAACTTTGCTTCTCCCAAATTGCCACCCACTCATCCCAGCAAAGCTCACATTAATCGAACCAAGGGTAAATTTGACATTTTCGCAAGCATTGAGACAGCTGCGATCCACATCTAACAACAACAAACTCTATGAAATTTGAAGGGTTAATTGCATGGTTGGTCACTGAAATTACAAAAAACGTTCATGTTTGGTCACTATAAATATTTAAATTCACTTTTGGTCACTAACTTTACAAAAACCGTTCATTTATGGTCACTCTCCGTTAGCTGCCGTCCAACGCCGTTAACGGCGTCCGTTAAGTGATGACGTGGCTGACGGATTTGCCTAATCAGCACTTTTTAACCCCAAAATTGACTGACCCGACCCGCCACGTCATTTAAACCCGTCATGTCAGCTAAACCTAACCAAACCTCTACCCAAACCCGACCAGACCCGCTAACTAAAATCAAACCAGACCAGACCCCCAAAATTGTTTGACTAAAACCCTAATCAAAGACTGCCTACATCCAGCACAGCCTTCCTCCTTCCGTTTTTCTTCCTGGAGATTTTCCGATCGCGAACACATAGACCGCATCCACAATTCCTCCTCTCTTCCTCCACCGCCGTTCGTCTTCTTTCAGACCGTCAGCACCCTGGGTCTCCCACTCCCTCTCCCAACAGTCTTACTGAGATCCCTCCGTCGGGAACTGAGTTTTCTCTTCTCTTACCTACCGGAGGAATCTGATTCTGCGATTCGACATTTATTGTTGATGGTTTTCGTTTTGCATTAGAGAATTGCGAACTTCACAAATCCATCAAACCCGCACTAGAGCCATTTCATATCGAATTCGAAAACCACCCGAAATCCAAAGCTAGAAACCCAAATGGAATTAGATCGAAATTACGCAGAAGAATCGGGGAATCTAGGGGAAGAGAAATTGAGCGAAGAAGAACCTCGAGAGGAAGGCTCCTGAAATCTTCAGAGGGATTCGATTGCATCTCCTTCACCTCTTGCAGGATCCGCTTCACAGCGGGGTTCTTCAGATTGTACTTGTCCTCCGCCATTTTATTGATTGATTTGAGAAGATCTCCACCGCCGACCCGAGTATCGCGCTTGATGAATAAATAGCGTAGATCTCGAAAGCCCCATCATCGAATCTCTGCAGATAATCATCAGGCAAACCCAAATACCATGCCATCCCTTGGATGATCTTCAAAGGTACTGGCTTTTCTTTATTCATCCAAATGAACTTCTTCAGTCTCTCCCTCAGATCCCCCTTATGATCCTCGAGAACACTCATTTCTTCTCTATCAATCTTGGCTGCTTTCTGGGTCAACCTAAACCAAGGCAAATTATGATGGGGGCAACATATTCCTCGAAGATTGATGGGTATTGCCTAAAAAACCTAGCCACTTTGATTTTCAGATCAAATTGCAGACCTTTCTTTGACACATCAGAGATGGGGATGCAACCATTGGGGTTCCGAGCTATGACGTTCTTCAGAGAAACAACGCGTTTCTGCTCCGTGGACTTGTGAATGTGCTCGATCGAGTCGAAGTAGGGATCTTTCTTCCATTTCATAGTCACTTGAACGTAGCTCTGAGTTTGGGTGTAAGAACATTGGAGATTTGGTCTGAAAGAAGACGAACGGCGGTGGAGGAAGAAAGGAGGAATTGTGGATGCGGGTCTGGTTTGGTTTTAGTTAGCGGGTCTGGTCGGGTTTGGGTAGAGGTTTGGTTAGGTTTAGCTGACATGGTGGGTTTAAATGACGTGGCGGGTCGGGTCAGTCAATTTTGGGGTTAAAAAGTGCTGATTAGGCAAATCCGTCAGCCACGTCATCACTTAACGGACGTTGTTAACGGCGTTGGACGGCAGCTAACGGAGAGTGACCATAAATGAACGATTTTTGTAAAGTTAGTGACCAAAAGTGGATTTAAATATTTATAGTGACCAAACATGAACACATTTTGTAATTTCAGTGACCAATCATGCAATTAACCCGAAATTTGAACAGAGGGCCAAATTTAACATTATCACACAGCAACACAAGCAAACTTCACCGCTGCCACGCATTAAAAACAGAAACTCGGAGAGTTCTTTTCTTCTACTCCATCTGTAATCTACCAATTGAAACACATTAATATTATCTTATCCAAACTCCCAACACCTGACATTTGGCCCCATACCCCAACTGCTCTGATGCCAATTCCCAGCTAAGCCTGCCTTCCAATCAACAAAGAGTTATTATTGCCATTTGCCAACAGTCTAACAGCCACAAGCAAGCTCAATCAACTGATCGAACAACTTCTCTAGCTCCCAAGTCTCCTGTGCAGACCATGAGAAACTAATCGACAATATAACAGACAGGCTCACCCCCTGCAAACCCTCCAAACTAGACACTGAATATAGAATCGGCAATCTTTAAGCTTACTAGCATCGAGACCGATACAAGTGCTCACAAGTCATGCATTAAAGACCTATACCAGGAGATGTTATGAGTAAGAGATGGGAGAATCTAACTTTCTGACGAAACCAAATGCAAGAATCCTAGCAACCCCGATTTTGAAATGTCTCCAGGGGGTTCATGGAGCAGCAACAATAGCTCCATCAATGGATGACCATGGCTTACGAAAGAGGTAACCTATCTGATGAATGACATGCGGAGTTAGGGTTGACATAACTAGAAATATGCAGGATCAGAAAAACTGAAAGAAGCAATCGAGCACTGGAACTGGAAGTAGCGGGAAATGAGAACTGATACAGAGACTTGAAGAAGGTAGACGGTATGTATATTGCAACGGAAAAGAACTTCATCAAAATATGTAACGTAACAGCACAGCACAGCACAGTTCAACATGCATAATCTCAGAATTCAAATGGTGTATATGGAGATGATCAGCTTCATTAAGCATACCCCCGCCCCTCTCCCGTTTGTTCTCTTTCTTTCCCCCTCAAACTCTCAATTGATCCCCAGAAAGCAATAAATTACAATGGCAACAATGCTATTGCAGATACCTACATATCAATCCAAAGAAAACAATGACATTTGTTTTGATGCAAGTCAACTAGAAGCAAGATGTGTATGTAACAATGATATAATCATAGTATCTAGCCACCACTGTTCAATTAGCACAATTCATGGAGATGATCAGCTTGAAGGTACTCTCTTCCTCCTCCCAACCGATTCCGTTGAGACTACAAATATAGACTTGCAAAACAATCTGATTGTAAGGTACCTAGAATCTACTAAACTAAACAGCCTACAGATACCATCAACCTTTCATGACCCTTCTTCCATAGTCTCCACCAAATCCTATGATGGCGCCTGGAAGTAAGACAACAAGGGAAGCCAACTAGAAACAAGACGTGCATGTACCAATGACATAACCCAATGATCAAGATGTTAATCATGCAAATTCAGAACTTGCAAACTTTGCTTGATTGAGAGAGGAAGTAAGGAAGCAATGCCATCATATGCTAAGAGCTTTTCCATGTGAAGAGGAGAGCTGTTCTCACATGATTGAGCTAATCTTCCCTTTGTGTATATACATTCCGAATCGCAAAATGGAAAACAAATCCCATTCAATTCTAAACCATGTAAGTAAATCAACATCAAACAAGAGTTTCCAAGAACATTTCAAGACTACATACAAACAAAAGGGGAGGGAGGAGGAGACTTCGAAAGCAAAGCATTACCAACTTCTCAATCAAATGGAGGAACCTGAACTATCTCCGGCACCAGAGGCCGAAGCTCCCCAACCACCGGAGGCAGCAGCAGCTACCCCTTTCTTCCTCTTCTCATCCTCGTACTCTGTATCATCAGTCGGCAGCTCGAACCTACAAACCGGGCAAGAGTTCCTCGACCCCAGCCATGGCACAATGCAGTCTCCATGGTATCCATGGCCACATGGCAACTTCGTTTCCTTCTCACCAACACTGATCATATCCTTACAGACAGCACACACCGAAGTCTCCCGCTCGCCTGTTACCTCAATCGCCGGTAAAGCAGACACGGCTGATTTCGACGCTGGAGGAGCGCCTTTCCTGCCGCCTTCGCTATCGGCTAGGTTCTGCAGCAGCGCCTCGTACCCGGCAGCATCGACGTAATCCTCTGGATTGCCTATGTATCTATCTGATTCAGGGACTTCGAGACGGAATTCGATCGAGTTATCCTCCAGTCCCATCAGGATCTCGGCCCAATCAAGAATCCGATTCCTCCCTGTCCTGGTTCTGGTCGCAAAATCGCGGATTCGGAGGCGGAGAATTTCGCGGCGCCTCCTCCGATCTTCCTCGTCGTCAACGTCTACGTCTCTATCCGATCGACCGTCTCCATCTCCTCGATGGACTTCGCTCCGATTCTCTCCGCCGTTCTCGTTCTCATCGGCGTTCAAATTCACCTCCTCTTCTTCCTCGCCATCGCCCTCCTCCTCCTCCTCCTCCACCTCCTCTTCTTCTTCTTCTTCTTCGCCTTCTTCTTCATCCTCGGCCTCTTCTTCTCCGTTGTCCCATCCATCGAGGTCGATTCGGAGGAAATCATCCTCCGATGGAGGAGCATCGCGGCGGTGGTGCGAAGGTGGAGGAGGAGAAAGATGTGGCGGCGCGTAGTCGTCGTCCTCCTCCTCGCGAGCTGCTTGTGCGATTATGCGAAGCATTTGCAGGAACTGAGATCCGAATGTGTCGTCGGAGGGATCGGAGATCAAAGAAGGAGTGGCAGAGATGGACGGCGGGGTGGAAGGGCCGGCGGGGATGGATTCGACGAAGCCGTTCTTGCAGTCGAGGCAGATGACATCGGGGAGGTTGGCGATGGTCTCAACGGAGACGCGCTTCTCGCAGTGGTAGCACCAGTACTGAGAGGAAGCGTCGGTGCGTGTGCCGGTGCCGGTGCCAGCGGCAGCGGCGGAGGGAGACGGGGTTTCGGCCATTCGTTAAAGGAAATTTTATCGTTTTGGTGGGGTAGGAACGGCTGGCCGAGGAACGCCCGGTTGGAAAGAAAGGGAAGGGAAGAAAGAAACTCGAGAAAGAGATGCGAGTGGGGAAAAAAGATTACCAAAGCAAAAAGAAAAAGAAAAAATGAAAGTAAATGAGAAAGTCTGGGAAATTGGCAAAGCACGCGCCCCAAAACATTAAACTGTTTTATTTTTTTATATAGTTTAATATATATTTCTCTTATGTCACCTATTAACATTTCACATTAGTAAGATACACGTAATTCTCTCGTATAGCGTGAGTTTATCATATAGAAACCTAATTGAGTTTCTCGGAAGAACAATTGGAAATTGAGGAAAAAGATTATGACTCCGTACTTAGGTAACCAGTTTGTGGAGTGAGAGCGAGAGCGGGAGCGAGAACGAGAGCGTGAGAGCGTGTGGTTTAGAAGAACTCAACATTGAGAGCGTGATAAAAGCGGTCAAAAAAAAAAAAAAAAAGAGAGCGTGATAAAAGCGTTAATATATTATATTATTATTTGAGTAACAAACTTGAATAAATAATGAAGCACAAACCTGTATACTTGAACATTAGTCAAGTATGTAATCAGTTCTTCTTAGAGGTGGCAAATGGATTGGATTGGTGGATCCATGGATCAAATGGATTGGATCTAATGGATTGGTGGATTCATGGATTGGATCAAGTGGATTGGTGGATTATCCATGAATCCAAATGACATCCTCAACCAAGGACCAATATGTAAAATGTAAAAAGTTTAGGTACTAAAATGTCACAATGAAAAATTTTAGGTACCAAAACGTAATTTTCCAATGATATTTTCGTATAAAAAATTAAATTTTAGGTACCAAAATGTAAAAAATAAAAATTATAGGTACTAAGCCGTAATTTGCCAATGATCCATGGATCCAATCCATGAATCCACCAATCCAATTGGATTTGGATCAAATGGATTGGATTTAAATGGATTGGATTAGGTGGATATTTTTAATGGATTGATGGATTGGATTGGTGGATTGGATTGAAATTGCCACCTCTAGTTCTTCTCAGATTCTAACTCAGCTTTTATATATAATATTAAATATAAAAACTGAATTAATTAGTTAGTCTTTTAATTGTTTCCATGGTTTATAGTTTATACTCTCATTTCATTCTTAAAACGACTGATATTTGAATGCATGTGGAAATACTATGACGTAACCGTGATCGCTATATTTATAGGGACTATATAGCAATTTTCAAGTATAATAAAAAAACCCAGGTGTAATTGAAAGGATAAGGATTGAGAAATAGCTATAGAAAAAGGGAACCGGCTTATTCATTAATCATTATCATCTTCTTCTCACCCTTTTAGGCTTTCTTTGGCTCGTTGGAGTCAAATCCGCCTGAGAATTTCCTATCCAACCAGCCACCAGTCCACCACACAATTCCTTCATCCCGCAGATTGTCGACGACTTCTCCGCAACCCAGACTGTCCCCATCCTTGACCACTGAAAATCCTCTTCTCCATGGCCCTGTACCTGCTGGTTGCCGTCCGTCTCGGCAACCCACCCGTCGCTCGCTCGGTAAATTATCTCTTGATAAATTCTCAATCCCGAGCGGTCGGCGACGAGTGAAAGAGCATCGAGCAGTTCAACGACGTAGCTAAGTTTTAGTGTGCCTCGATGACATCGAGCAGTTGCAAGTCTTGCCTGGGCTAGCACATGTGGTTGGGCGGCGATGGAGAACTGAATTGTCGGAAGCCATTTGGAGAATCAAACATCTCCTTGAGTAGGGAAGCGATGGGTCCTTGTGAAATTCGCGCTCCGTCAATTGAAATTCGCGCTCTGTACAAATGGAATTCGCGAATTGTAGCCGCCCCAATAAAAATTCGCGTTTCCACGCTCCAAAGCGGGAGCGGCGGAGCTAATGCAGCGAATTAGGTTACCTAACTCCGTACTAGTGAGGGCTGTGAGCCTGCAAGGGCATGTAGCTCAATACGTAGCTGAAAAACAACCAAATTGTGGATGAAAATAGCATTAAGTAAGGTATTAATTCTACACTATGGCCATCCGGATAAAAATTTACCTCCTACTAGCTGCTTTGAGAACACAGGAGATGGCCCACAAAATTGGAGAAATGTTTTGGTAAGTTGGTATGGATCGACAGGAGAAGTGACTACATATGGGATGATTTTCTTGCAATTAAGAATTGAGAAAGATATTAGAACACCAATCAAACCAGAGTTGAAACTCTAAGTGAAAGGGAAATACAGTATGAAAAGCTACCCATATTTTGTTTTAACTGTGGACAGGTGGGGCATCCAAAACTAAAGTACAACAACCTTATCGTTGCTGAAAGTGCCTTGGACAACCTAGAAATACGAGTAGGACTCTCCTTAACAAACCTTGGAGGTCCAAATTGGAAAAAGAAGAGCAAGGGGACATCTAGACAAGCCTTAGGGCTAAATTCGACATAGAGTGCATGACAGAGAAGCTCAAAGGGAAGAGATGAATGATATGGCCGAACCACTAAGGGTAGAAAATCTATAAACCATAAAGAAGCAGGAGGGATGCAAGATCTTCAAGAAAATGGAGCAACAAAAGAAACCATCGAATTTCCCCTTGGTTAAGTAAATGAAAGAGCATTGGAAGGGATCGGGGGAAGAGATATGGAACTTTGGAGAGGTTGTTGATCGAAGTGATTGAACAATTGAGAAATTAATAGAGAAGGCAAATAAGGAGAATGCCTCTAAAAGAGGAATAGTTTATATGGAACACTTGCAGAATTGGAGACTTATGGACCTGGAACTACCTTCTATTCAGAGGACAAAAAGTTTGTGATGGATAATGCAAAACCGAGAGCAAATCAAAGAACAAAAAGAAAGACAAGGAAGCAAAAAGACCTGGAACCAAGGAAAAAGCTATCGTTTAATCCACATGACCAAATATAGTTGACACCATATAATCGTGTCATGAAGATCCAGGAGGGCACAATAGAAAATCAAGCAATGGTTCATACAAGGCGGATACTGAGCAAAACCAAGAACAAAAGAAATAAAAAAAAATGGACTAGATGGAGGTACGAAGTTCACATGGAGATCATACCTTTAAACAACTCTTTTTTTTCTCCAAGTAATGACATGAGAAAAAATAGTTAGAAACCTCTACCCAAAACCCCACCCAAAGCAACACTTAGTGAAGCCACCCTACAAAATCAAAGGACGCTACCTTTAAAAAGGACAACAACAGAGCTTTAGGTGTCACTCTATGGGTAGCTTAGTTGCCAGTCCGCAGAACCACACTAAAAACTATACAAAGAGAGCATGAAACTAGGAGCCGATGACACTCTTGGAGCAGTGAGCCGATGACACTGTTCTACAGTCCAGATGCCGAATCACCACTTCAGGATCACCTAGCATCAAGGTGCTTTACTAGATAGGGATCGAAAACTCCTTGGTGCTGAGATCCCAGACCAGTAGAACTTGCCCGTCTGTCCCATGTACGACGAGGCCAGACGAGCAACCGGAACGACAAACAGCAGCATCAAAGATGATCTTCACAAAGTCTGGAGGCGAGCGATGCAAAACAGAAGGATGAGAGGGCACAAGACTGAGAGAGAGGTCCTGGGGGATGAAAGGCTAAGGAAAATTCACACTACAACAAAACCCATAAATAGCGGCTAAGAAAATTTGCCTCTATAAATTCTTTATTTCCCTCTGTATATATTTGGAGGCAGATAATACATTTGCCTCAAATACTCCAGTGGCTATAGCCCTACAGAGGCAAATATAGAGGCATATATTATCTGCTACTGATTAAAGATTCTGCAACTAATATTTGAGCTGCTAATGTAACTTTTATTTTGCCTTCATATCCTCTATTAAAGGCATAAATATTTGCCTCTGAAATAATTTCTAGAGACATACAGATTTGCCTCTAAAATAAGTATTAGAGGCATATACTTTTGTCCCAAAATTAGTATTTTGCGGCTAATAGATATGTCGTTAATGAGTTTGTAAGGCATAATTATATGCCTCTGATATTTCCTTTAGATGCAGATAGCTTGTAGAATTAATGAATAGAGGCTAATACACGTGCCTTTGAATAAGCTTTTTGAGGCATAACTTTGTGCCTCTATAATTATTTTTAAATGCAACAAATTGGATTTATATTTTAGATGTAAAATAAAATGTGACATTTTATAGTGAAGAATAATCTAAATGCTTGAAATTTATAATTCTGACTATAAAATAAATATGGAATTCAATATAATAACTAAATCCATAATTTCTCAATCATTCGTAACAACGGAAAAGTTTAACTGGTGGGTCTCTCTTATAATGAAAGGACAACAATAAAATTCTACGAACATTGAACTCTAGACAATCTCTCTAATAATCAAAAGGAGTGTCTTTAAGATGGTCCATGTGTGAGTTTCACCTGTTGAAAGAATTTTTTTTATGTTAGAACGTAGTATACAACAAACTAAAAGAATAACTCAAAGCTTATATTTAACTTACCAAAGAAGATGGCCAAGCAATACTCGTCCCTATCGCATCTCCTATGGAATGATAGCTTGCATATGGTCGTATTAAGGGTTCATCAAACTTAATCGGAATTTGGACATATACTTCATAAAACCCACGACCCAATTCATGTCCGCCAACACATCTCTTTGGATCTTTAGATATCAAAGATGCATAAGCTACATCAACGTTAGGATCTTC